CTAATTCTAATCCTTTCTTTATGTTAATAATATAGTGTATATATTAAAGTTGTGCGTTGTTAAATTTTATTGTAAATAGTTTTTACTGTCAGTGAAATGTGTTGTCGGTAAATTTTAGTGTCAGTAAAGTAAGCTTGTTGGTAAATTTAATCATGTCGGTAAAGTAATTGTCAGTGATTTTTATGTCGATAAAACTTAGCTTGTCGGTAAAACAAGCTTGTCGGTAAATTGATTGTCGGTAAATCAATCAGCTGTAAAATAAGCTTGTCGGTAAAGGGATTGTCGGTGAAATAGGGTGTCATTGAAGTGATTATCGATGAGTTGAATGACACCGTAGCAATATTATCTTGAATAATTTAAGAAGGTGTATCTCTGGTTTCATGAGCTTGATGTTTAATACAAGCAATAACTTTTGCAACTTTGCTACGATCAGCTTGAGGAGCATGATTATTATGTTTAACAAATTTTTTAAGATAGTGTAAATTATCTAAAAATGTAGTAATTGCTTGACCTTTACAACACTCTGACTTTCTTTTTTCACAACATCAATAATAAGTATTTCTGATTACTTTTTCTTTTACCATTAGATAACCATTAACTACTAATTTTGGGTTTCCTTTTTGTGATATTACAAGCTCACATATTTCAGCCATATTGTAATAATGCAAAAAGATATTTTTAAAAAATAATCATTTTATAATTATAAATATTTATTCACAAACCAATGCATAACATGATATTAGAATATGATGAATGAAAAATTAGATAATTTGAGTTTAATAAAAAAAATTTTAATCAGAACTAAAGATTAACACGTGATAAAAAAATTAGATTTATCTTTATTTCGCTAATATCTTACTTAGGCCATTCAAAATTAATTTTTCAGTTAACATCACTCTCTTTGGCATTCTCTGGTAAAATAAACACATATAAAAAGTAAAAATTAAAAAACACTATATAACCACAAAATAATATAATGGGTGTGGTTTCAAATTTTGGACTAAATTAAGCTTAATTTAGACTGAAATTCGAAATAAATCTCTCTATACACTGGCAAATATAAAATAAAAATAATTTAAAATAAAATAATTTAAATTAAATCAGAAATAAATTAAATTAAAAATTTAAACCTTTGGCTTTTTATGATTCCAGCTAATTAAAATAAAAAATAAAAAATACAATTTTTTTTTTAAAAAAAATGAGATAAATAATAAAAATAAAGCTAAAATTTTAGTTCTCACTTGGCTATCATCTCATATACCATATAGGCATGTAATAACTTGCAGAAGCATTATTTTGAATAATAGCCTGAATTAGGCTTAATTTAGGCCAAATTTTGAAATTACACTCCTGCGCATTGTTACACACTTATATAGTATGTTTATTTCAGTTCGTGATGAAACGATTCAAAAAAAACTGCTAAAAAAAGAGCTTCAAATGTGTTTTTTATTCAGAGAGAACTAGTATTAATAAGTAAGAAGAAATATTTAAATAAACATAATGATACAGATCCAATCACTAGATCACGAGAATTTTGGCTGTAAAAATTGTACGTATGTACAAAGTTCTTTTTCTCAGATTAATGCATCATATAATTAATTATTTACTTGTTTATTTTTTGCTTCTCTTTTTTATAATAGGAATATAATGTTAACTACTAAATCAAATTCATCTGACCTAATTAGCAACTCAACTAGGATCTCTAGACTAAATTTAACTTGAAGTCAATTCATTATAATAGATTTACTATATAAAAATAGTTTGTTCATTTTATATATTTGTTTTATTTGCCCCTCTCCTCTTTTCAAGAGTTCTGGAAAATGATGTTAACCAAAAAATTAGCTTTAAACAGGCTAAAGGCCCAAAATAACTGTGATGCTATTCATGCCTGTGGCTTGATTGTTATTAGTAAAAAACATAACAATCGATTATAAATTAGTAAATAATTTTAAATGAGAAAAGAAAATTTCTTTAAATTTAATAAATTTTATTTCTTCGTATGAAATTGCTTATTGTTATAACAAACCACTATGATGTCAAGTAAAATATTGCGAATTAGCATGACATTAACTAGTATAGAGGATATTTGTTCAGCTTTAGAGAGCTGCTCTGTTGAAACTTCATCTTATGAATAATTGTGCTAGTTTAACATTATTTTACACAATATTTAATCAAAAATAATTATAACTAACACTTTATTTATTCTTTATCTAATAATAAGTATATAGATAACTCTAAATATTAATAATAAAACAATCAATAATTCTATAATCGCGATTTTACTATCGTTATTCTGCCATCAATAGATTTGGGCTCTTATATGTAATATTTTTTGTAAATTCTTCTAAAATAAATTATCTGAGTTTATAAAATATTTATAGTAATTTGAGACTCACATATCTTAGTATTGTCATGGGGTTAATTAGAGGTAGGTCTATCCTCTAAATATCTAGACCGATGGGATAAAGCTTCGCTTCAGAGCACCAAGAGATATGTTATTTTACTTATTTTGTCATTACTCGCTTATGCGTGTTTATGCAATAATTATAGTTTTATATATATAATATACTTGTTTAACTTATGTATGCAGCCGCAATTTACAATGAAAGTTTATTAATTTATTATTTGTGTATTTCTTTATTATACTTGAGCAAAAAAAAATGCGCATTATTGGTTATGCTTGGGCTATATATTGTACGATTAAAAGAATAGGATCGACAATTATGATCGTATTTGGCGATCGATTGCATATTTGTTTGGGATTGCATATAACCATATTAAGAAATATTAGAAGATTTAGTAGAGTAGGTAGATGCATTAGAATTAGTAGATAGAGTCAATAGGGTAGATTTAGTAGAACAAGTAGATATGTAAATAATATATAAGCTAGCATTTATTGACATGTAAAAAGGCATCTGGCATCTGGCATCTCGCATCTGGCATCTCGCATCTCGCATATATTCTAACTAATAAAGTATATACTCTAAAGTATATACTTCGCTCGCCAAATCTACGCCCTCTTTCGAGACATTATAGAATTATCATCGAACGTTATGCAAACCCTATTCCGGTTTACCCTACAGAGTAGAAATTTTAAGGCGTACGTTCTAAGAAGTATTACAATATACCTACTCTCTATCAATCGCTCAATTCTTTACTCAAATTAATTGTCAATCTATGACTATATTGTTCATGCTATAACTCTAATAAACTACAAAACTATGACTATATTAATTATACAAATTAATCACGCCACTATTTTGACTTTCGTATTATCAATCAATTCATTACATCTCATATGTCTTCGATCCCACCTGGTCACCAGATCGGTGACCGCCATTACTATTACCCGATTCTAAGTCACATGTGTGTCAATAAAATTCGTGGCAGTATATTTAAATAAGCTAAGTCTATGAGTATAGTATTTATGAATCTAAATATTAAAATAAGCTATTCGAGCTAAAGTAATTTAATTTTAAGTATATGAAATAAGGTAGCTACATAGTTATACTAAAACTAGGACCAATAAATTATATTCATAGTTTTTCAAGTCGATTTAGTCAATATTATTATTTATTAATCGAAATATTTGAATAATATATGTATCTATTATTAATTTCTTATTTGTGCCGATTTATGATTCTTGTAATCTAAAAATTTATATAGAAAATATTAATTATAAATTTTAATCTTATCTAAACTCAAGTTGTACAGTGACTACTTACACTTGTATAACAAATCACAAAAAATTAGGCTATATATTATATTCATTGTACAATAATTTTATGCTATATTAAGACTGGTAGTCTTTTTGGTCTATCTACAGAAGACCAGAATGGCCCAGTTCTAAGACAGAGCGCATAACCAGTTTTAGTCGAACTGATTAACAGCCCTCTATATGCAACTACAAAATTTTATTTTCAGGACTATAATTTGAAATTATTTTTCGGAATTATAATCTTTCAAGATTATGATTTTTTGAGATTATGATATTTTGGGATTATGATATTTTGGGATTATGATCTTTCGGGATTATGATTTCAGGATTATGATTTCAGGATTATAAAATTTCGGAATTATAAATTTTCGAGATTTTTTTTTTTCAGGATTTAGTTTTTGGGATATTACCCCTTTGTGATTTTGTTCTTTCAGAAATTGGTACATCGGGATTTGGTACCATCAGGATTTCAATGTTCGGGATATTGACCCAAAATCATTAAATGCTAAAAAATATATATTTAAAATTTGAAGAAAGGGTTATATATATATTTTTAAATAAGTTCTCTAACACATAACCTGAGTACTGCTACTTCTTGCGGAACCGTGAGAGCCGGGTATACGGTGAGCGCCCTTGTAAAAGACAACTC